TTTTTTTTTTTTTTTTTTTTTTTTTTTTTTTTTTTTTGAGACAGGGTCTCACTATGTTGTTGAGACTGACCTGGAACTCACTATGTAGCCCAGGCTGGTCTCGAGCTCACAGTGATCCTCCTGCCTCAGCCTTCCGAGTGTTGGGATTACAAGCATGCACCACCACGCCCAGCAGTCCCAGCAGTCATTGTGTGTTCTTATCCACCTTATTCACCAGATCTGGCACTATGCAACTTCTGGCTCTTTCCTGAAGTCTAAATGTTTTGAGTCAATTCTAGGCATCAAAGTAGCCATGATAGAACCACTAAAAACTCTCACAAAAGAAGACATCCAGAACTCCTTCAGAAAGTAGCAAAAATGATGGGTTTAAGTGCATTTGGACCAAGTGGGAGTATTTTGAGGAGAATTAATGGCAGTGTGTCTTTTACAGCAAGAAACTTTTTAAAAAGTACATATTCACTGTGTTTTTCCTCATGCTTGCATTTGTGAGTGCCCCCAGAAAGAGAGTTTGGCTAGTACTTGGGATGTACACGATAGATGAACCAAAGCCCTGACTCTTACAGGATTGAGTAAGGTAAAGGATAGATCTGGCAGTGGATGAGAATTACTGGTACAATGTTATGATACAAAGATGCTGTCTTAGTCTACTTGTGCTGTCACAAAAGTACTTTAGATCTGATAATTTGTTTCTTGTTTTTTTGTTTTGTTTTGTTTTGTTTTTTGTTTTTTGTACTGGAGATTGAACTTGGGACCTGTGCTTGCCATGCAAGCAGCGGAACCACTGAGCTAAATCCTCGGCCCTGTTTCTGTCTTTTGAGATGGGGGTCTCACTGTGTAGTTCAGGCTGGCCTTAAACTCACTGTGTAGTAGTGATGTAGCAGGATGGGCCCAGAATCTCAGCAATCCTCCTGTGCTGGCATCACAGGCATGCCCAGCTAGACTAGATAATTTGTAAACAGTAGAAATGTATTGCTTACAGTTCTGGAGGCTGGGCTGTCAGAGGTCAAGATGCCAGCAGAATATGTATGAAGCACAGGCCTGTTCCTTATAGATGGTGCCTAATGTGTCCTCCCGGGGCGGAGGAGACAGGTGACTCTATAAGGGCGCTGATCTTCCTGATGAAGGCAGTCTCATGACTTGGTCAATTCCCTTAAAGGCCCCATCACTTTATACCACGTCAGTGGGGATTGCTTTTCCATCTGAGTTGTGGAGGAGCATGTTTGGAACACAGTGGATGCTATTGCACTTTTGGGACCAGTGGCACACAGTACAGTAGAATGGTACTGAGCCTATAAGAAAACCTGCGGGCTACTTGTCATAATGCAATCTTAGGTCTCATGGGGGAAGTTTGCTGTGTAATTCATGTGTGCATACTAAAGTTGGAGGACAGTTGTCACTGGTCCTTGCACATAGTCTTCATTAAATAGCTGTTGAATGAGTGACATCATTATCTTTCCGAAGAGACCATTAATGGGCCTTACAAGTTGCAGAGATTTTATCTCATGCATTTA